AATTTAAAGATATAAAAGAAAAAAGAATATAGTAAATAAAAAGAAATATACAAAGAAGTGTCTTCCCCGTTCACCCCACCAAATATAAATATTTTTAATAATTTATCACCTTCTCTTAAAATATAAATGATCTCTTCTTCCCACATCCCTTCTCACCTATAAACAAATCCATAAAGCCTCATTATTTCACTCCTGAGATCAGCAAAAGTCCATTAAAGGTTATCAGAGATAACAACATATCTATTTTAGCCTTGATCAAATAAAGAAATGTTATATTATTTCATTTTATGTCTAACAATCTTGTTCTTTAATCCCTTACCAACAAATCCTGGAACTTGATTTCTTTTCATTTCTTTTCTTTTTTTACAAGCCTTTTTTATAAATCAACTATAGAAAAAATTTTCAGATCACTTTTTTTGTTTGTTATTTATATAACCTTTTTAATTATTATTTTTCATAGTGGCTGGAAAGGGCTAGACCAAAATTCAGCGCTGAGACTCTGATCATAGCAGCCCAAGAACAGGCACTAAGCATTAGATCCATAGCAGCAGGGGTCCCTAGAAAGGATTCATGGTGTAGATCCAAGGCCTCAGAGAAGTCCAACACATAGTGGCAAGTTGTAAGATGCAGGCAGGAATAGCATACACTGAATGGTCCCACAAAGTAGCTGGCATTATGTCCAGGAACATCTGCACAATGAATGGGCTAGACCCTCCTAAGTTCAGATGGGAAATTCTATAGAGGGCGGTGGAGAATAAGAGAGCTAAACTCCTGTGTGGCTTCCAGATCTGCTACTGATTAATCAACTAGATCAGTGGTTCTCAACCTTTCTAATGCCGCGACCCCATAATACAGTTCCCCATGTTGTGGTGACCCCCAACCACTTATACATCACCGGGTGCCAGGGGCATGGCCAAAGAAAAGGGGGAAAAATGGCAGACAGCCTTGTTTGGCGACCCCCCATGAAATGGTCGTTCGACCCCAAATGGGGTCCCGACCCACAGGTTGAGAACCACTGAACTAGACATTGTGCCATAGACAAGGACCAAAGACAATAGACCTATTAGATGTAGTGGTATCAAATGACAGCAACCTCAAGAAGAAGGAGGATAAGAAGCTGGAGAAGTACCAGGACTTGAAGGAGACACTGGAGAGAATGTGGAAAGTAAAAGGCAAAGTGGCCCCAGTAGAGGTAGGAGCACTGGGACTGTGACAGCTAAGATACTGCACAGAACTCTTGAACTCCCAGGTCTCTGGTGGAGGACCTGAGATTGAAAAAGACATAGACCACCCATAGGGGTGAGAAGGTTTTTTTTAAAAAATAAAATAAAATAAAATAAAAGACTGACTTGAGGGCACAAAACTATAGCTCTCAACAAAATCACTCGTGGAGATGGGTAGCTATTAAAATCAAATAAGTAAATACAAATAAATAACCCTGATTGTAATTATGCAATGTTCTAAACATTAAAAAAAATCAATTGTAACTTTCCCCGGAATTGATAACAGAAAAACTTCTAAGATCATGATCGGTATTGCGTTCAAGAGCAAAATGAGTCATACCTTCAACAAACAGAAGATACCTTCTTTCTAGGGACATCTCTTTCCTCCACCTTTGCCACCTAATTTGCCTAAGACATGCCAATTTTCAAGATAGATATCATTAAAGCTTGGCTGCCATACATATTTGTATTATATTATAATTGTTTTTAATTGTTTTAGATTCAGTGCCCAGAGCTACTTGCTTGAGATGGCTGCCTATAGAAAAGCAATAAACAAACAAACAAATAAACCAACAAATCAACTCCGAAGCACATGTAATTGTTACATAAGGAAAATATTACAATAAAAAAAAATCTCCTGTTTTTAAATTAACTAAATTATAATTTAAAAAATAGATACAATTAAAATCTAATGCTAATGAAAATCACAGTATTATTTCCAATTAGATTTCATAGCCTTATTGCTCTGGATTTTTCTGATCAAAATGGAAAGGTTGTTCAATGCAAGCCAGACATAAATAGGAGGGTGTGTCAATCAATCAATCAGAAGAGAACTGGAAGATACCTTGGAAGTCTTCTAGTCCAGCCCCCTGCTCATTTCGGACAAATGGCTGTCCAGTCATGTCTTAAAAACTTCCAATGTGGAGCATTCACTGCTTCTGGAGGCAGGTTGTTCCACTGGTTAATTCTTCTAACTGTCAGGAAGTTTCTCCTTAGTTCTAGGTTGCTTCTCTCCTTGATTAGTTTCCATCCATTGTTTCTTGTCCTGTATTCTGGTGCTTTGTAAAATAAATTGAATTCCTCTTCTTTGTGGCATTCCATCAAATATTGGAAGACTGCTATCCTGTCACCCCTAGTCCTTCTTTTCATTAAACTAGACATACCCAATTCCAGCAACTATTTTTCTTATGTTTTAATCTCCAGGCCTGTAGTTATTTTAGTTGCTCTTCTTTGCACTTTTTCCAAAGTCTCAACATCTTTTTTGTAATGTGATGACCCAAACTGGATGCAGTCTTCCAGGTGTGGCTTTACTAAGGCTTTATAAAGCTGTACTAATACTTCATGTGATTTTGATTCAATGCCTCTGTTTATACAACCAAGGATTGTATTCCCTTCTTTGGGCTGCCGCCGCAGACTGCTGACTCATATTTAAGTGATCATCCATTAGGACTCCAAGGTCCCTCTCACAGTTACTGTTTTTGAATCAGGTTTCATCTAATCTGTACATGTACCTTTGGTTTTTTTTTTTTTTTGCCTAAGTGTAAACCTTGCTTTTCTCTACATTGAATTTAATTTTGTTGGGTAGGGCCCATTGTTCAAATCTGTCAAGACCATTTTGGATCCTGAGTTTGTCTTCTGGGGTGTTGGCTATTCCTGCCAGTTTAGTGTCATGTGATGTTACATGAGAAATTATGCAATTATTTAAATCATATGGGACATTACACAAATGGATGTATGCATATGAATTGACATTCTGTATGAAGAGTGAGATGCTTATATATGATCCATCTCAAAGCAACAATTTAATTGAAAAAAGTCAATTTAGAATTGTCAGTCTGTATTTCTAAATCAATAGGAAAAAACTGAATTGATCCAATTCAGAAATTAAATTTGATCAGGGAAAAAAAATATGTTTTATGCATGTTTCAAAGACCCTCAAACTGTCATGTTAATGTGAAAGTACCTGATTCAATTTGATGACTCAATCCAAATCAATAATCCAATTCAGAAAGTCAATTTGATTTGGGGATTCAATCATATACCTTCCAAACTGAATATTGGTGCAGTCCTAGCCCGAGCATGTATTTTGTATTTCAACATTACATATTATATAAAGGCCAAAAAGAAAAAAAAAGGGGGGGGGAAAGGAGGGGGAGGAGATGTTAATTTTCCTAACATGGTTAATAATCTCTGGGAACAATTTATCCGAAAAGTGATCTGTTTCTTTTTTGCTATTAAAAGATTCTTGTTTTCAAGATAAAAAGAGAGGATTTGAAATCATTCTCAAGTTAACACAGACATAATACTCATTCTTACACAATTTGGTCTCTTGGAAAATGTGTGTTTGTTTGTGTCTGTTTGTGTTTGTGTATTTGTGTGCGCTGAAGGCATATCACATGCCATGCTTCCACAGCTGGAAACAATGATTTCTTGCAGAACCTCTGTCATATTTTTGAGAGACTTTTGTTTTTAGGAAACACCATTTCTTTAGGTGAAATCAGGCTTTACAACAAATAAAGGCAGCAGATGCTCCAGTTATGTGCTCAATGGCACCATTTCAAAAATAAACTGAAAGTCTTCTCTTTCTCAGTAGCACCCACTCTTTCATCCAAACCAAACAGCAAATTGCAACAACAACAAAAAAGGGTAGGGTTTTGGGTTGGTTTTTTTTTTTTTTTTTTTTTGCAATTTCAAATCTAGTAAACCCTCTCCTCCTCTTTCTTGCAACATCTTAGATTTAATTTGTGGTCTTCTCCCCTGCTACTCAAATTTAGATGTGTCCTTCTGCTATTTACATGATGCATCAGTTGTCAAAAGAGGAATCGTCTGAATCAAAAACATCGTTCTAAGCAAGACATTCAATTTTATCTCAGAAATTCTTCCTGACACATGACTGTTATAGTTTCTTCCATCTTAACATATCTTTTTAAACTTCAGCCCATGTCTTAATGTAGTTATTTTGAAATGACCTACAATTAGGACATGGCCTGAGGCTTTGGTAGCAGGCATATTTGTGGTACAATAAAATCAAGGCTAGTGTGGAATTTCAAAGGCATTATATTAGATGTGTCATATTGAGAATATGGAATAGATATGAACCCACGTTGTGCCTGAAAACACTTTTGTGGTTCTTAGTACCAGAAGCATTTTATAGTCAAGAAATAATAGGCAAAATAAGCTGGAAGTAAAACAGACTTGGGTCTTATGATTAGGGACTATGCTGAGACTTTCTAATTAAACACAAAAAAATTCACTACAATCTTACTAGAAGTTTACATGCACATAGTAAACTTCATAAAAATATATCTTTTGACAGCATTGGTCAAAATATGCCATTGGTATATTAAAGTATGCCTACAATTCGGTGCCTTTTTCCTCTTATTTCTTTATATTTTTCATATGGAACATAGAATAATAAGGTAGGAAGGAAGCTTGAAGTCCAATCTCTTGCTCTATACCATTTTGAACAGATGAATATCCAGTCTCTTCTTAAATGCCTCCAGTGATGGAACACCCATAACTTCTGGAGACAAGCTGTTCCACTGATTAATTGTTCTGTCAGGAAATTTCTCCTTAATTCTAGGTTGTATCTCTCCTTGATAAGCTTCCAACTGTTACTTCTTGTCCTACCCTCAGTTTCTTTAAAAATAGGCCAACCCCCCCCCCCCCTTTCTTGTGACAGCCCCTTGAGTATTGGAAGACTTGTTAAGTTATATTTCTTCCAGGTTCTCTTTTCCTAAAGTTTTTTCCCCCTAAAGTTACTCTTGCATCCCACCATTTCATCACTTTCATAGGCCATGTTTATTTCTTCCACCCTGTTGGAGGTCCTTCAGTCAACCATATACTTCTCCAAATTAACAGGAAATTTCTTGTTAAGCTTTAGTCAATGTCATTTCTCTCTGAGTTGAGGTAATTTTAGAAAATTATAAATCCTGAAATAATATACAAATTCTCCCACTCAAAAAGTGATCTTTACAAAACAGCTGACATCCTATCATATGCTTGACAACGCAAAAGATTTATTCTTAAAAACTAAGTTGATTTCTTTACACAGCAGTCAATTTTCATCCAATCTTTTCTTTTTAAAGGTTACAGAATCTTACACCATACAAAATGAATTTAGTTTTTTTTATCCTACTTTTTTTATTATTGTTCCCTTTCTTCCAATATGGGCATGAGCAAAATAATTGCTGATTATGACAAAATAATTGTCATAAAAGAAGTTCCAAATAGATGCCTTTGGCCTTTGACTTATTATACCCACAAGCCATATGCTGACAACTGTTGTTTTTTTTTTTTTTTTTAAATTAAGACATTTACAATACATTCTAGTGCCATGGTTATTTTTCTTGGATTCCATGAAATGATTTAAGTTCAGGATCAAAGTCAAAAACAATAGTGTTAAGGTCTACTTCAACTGCACATCTACAGAATCCAATGAATACTGAAATAGACATCATTTTAGGAGAGGGATCATAGGATGGCACTCAACAGTGGAATAGATGAACAGATTAACCTACTCTCTTCATATCTCACCATATCTTTCCCAAGTTAAGCTGAAAGTCTTTCTCTCTTCATTCCAAAGTAACAATGTTAATGTAAGTTTATTCCTATATTCCCAATTCACTTTTAAAAAAAGATCAAGCCTGCTAGAAGAAAGTTATATATCAACCCTGCAGAATTCAAGCATTCACGATTGTATATGCTCTCACAAAGTTGCCATCTTCCAAAAATTGCCATTACTTATACTTTTTAAATATGATAACTGGGAAAACTAGAGTAGATTTCTGCTTGCTGGATTTATTGATAAAATAAAGTTACATTTGGTTTCCACTCATTCCTTTGTGCTAACTCTATTTTGGAGGGTGTTTGGTGATAAAATATGATCCCACCACTATCATGCACCATTCAAAATCCCTTTCTCTCAGAAAGATTTATATACACATTGTACCCATTCAACGGAATCAAATTCAAAGAGTCAAACACAGCTTTTCTATTTTCCTTGGAGTTCAAAATCAGTGACAATTAATTTCCTTATTATAGTCATAGGATTAGTACTACCAAAACTCTATGCATGTGTTTTTTTTTTAAAGGAAATACATTAGAAATAATGAAAATTAAACTTGAATTAAAAGTAGAGGAATATGAAACCATGAGAAGCCAGCAATTGATTCAGCGTTGAACTTTTGAAGAATACAAACTGGAGCACAGAACTTAGCAAATTTGTAAACATGGTATACATTTCTGTTTGCTAACAGATAAATAAATTAAAGTTGCCAGGGCACCCTGGGATTTCAGCTAGCGAGAAAAAGCCAAAGCAGAGCTACTTGCATTGTAATAAAAGTGTTACCGAAATATGTGGGCTGAAGATTCTACTTGATCCATAAAGACAAATGTGTTTTTTTTCCATTGATATTTTCCGGAAGTGCTTTTTCATTACTGCAACATATCAAAACATTTCAATAAGAATATTTTTTCTTAATTTATGCTCTCCTGAGAGTAAAGATAAAACTACTGTTTTAAAAACCTAGTAAGTCAGTGGCCTTGTTCTCCATGATTCATTAAAACTTCAATGTAACCTCTAATATAGACATAACATAATTGAAGTGAAACAAACAAACAAAACAAAAAAAACCACACTCAAACCATCAATTCTAAAACACCCAAGCAAAAAATATTCTTCTATGGACATGGAAGAAATGCCTTCATTCAATTTGAAAAACTGCCCTATATAACCTGATCCCAAATATTAAATGGATCCTGACTATCCAAAGATTGCTTATATAAGTAGTGCTCGACTTACGACCACAATTGAGCCTAACATTTCTGCAAAATGAGTTTTGCCCCATTTTACGACCTTTCTTGCCACAGCTGTTAAGTGAATCGATGCAGTTGTTAAATTGGTAACAAAGCTGGCTGAGAAATTCTGGGAGTTGAAGTCCACAAGTCTTAAAAGTTGCCAAGGTTGAGGACCCTTGCTTTAGGGATTGAGCATAGAATGTGTAGATGGCTTCATACTGCTCCAGGTGTTCATCATACAAAAATCAGAATTCTTTTCTCATACAACAGCTATTGATTTTCTATTAGAAAACGGAAATTATCCCTACATATTACTTCCTAGTCCTTGCTTGGGTGTATGACAAATGAAAACAGCACACTAGCAAAACCTATGCCATTATTAATTTATAAAAACAGTAAACCAGGATTTACAACCCCTAAAGAACCAAGCAACCCTATCCAATTCAGAGAAGCCTACTTTTGAGAAGGCACAGGCCATTGTTTTATATATTTATCTGTAAAGCAATACATGCATATTTGATTGTTAAATTGTATGTCTCCTTGCCATAGAAAAGAAATATCCGTCAGACTTCCTATATTTCCCCTAGGATGGCCTATGTTTCTTCTTTAGTCAACGGGAAGCACTTTAAACTTCTTCTCAAGCAGAGCAACTGATGTGATTTGAGCCTAACCAAAGCCCAGCAAAGTCATATCCAATGATCCATTGAATTCACTAGACTCTAATAGCTTATTTTGGACTCTTCAGGAGTTATAAATATGTTTCTGAAGAAAGTAAATTAGACTGGTGGGAATAGCTTTTCTCCACAGGTAGAAAAATAATTAAAGTGCCTGCTCCTTCATTATTTATTTTTTTTAAAAAAACAATGGATATATGAATCAAAGCCAAAATGTTAAAAAAAAAAAAAATACAGTGAAGCAATTTAATAATTTCAGTGCAATTCCAATTGTCCTTCTATTGAAATACCCCTAGAAGCAAGATCCATTGATATGGGAAAGCAAAGGAATCACCCTTGTAATATAGTCAAAGCAGATTTTCTCCTAGGTATCTGCAATGCAATTTAAAGCATTCTCTCTGATTCAAATAATCAATCTGATCTGATCTGACACTTCTAACTGATTTGGAATATAACGTTTATTGGATTTTCTGATCAATTCAGAACGGCATCAGAAAGTTTACAGTCAAATGGCTGAATTGATGAAAGGCATTGCATTTGATTCAGCAGTTCAATGGAGAGTGTCCGTCTTATTTGGAAAGCACATTCATTTGCGCTGTCTTTAAATTGAATGTAATGTAACAAGATGTAATGTAATGTTTTAATGTAACAAGATATCAAAGCGTAAGAGCAATCTATCTTGGCAAATTTGGGGCCCAAGGCTTCATACCATAGTCTATATTCTGATCAGAAGCAGGATGGATATTCAGGAAAGACAATCAGAAGGATTGTAAATCCTACAGCCGCTCAACTCAAATAACACCTCCCACCCTATCCCCATGCTGCCAAGAACTATAACTAGAGTACACATTATTCATCTTTTCTCCTCCCATCCTGTTTGCAGCACCCTTCTGTGAAGCGGTAGGTCCTCAGATGCTATTTCTCCCATCCCTGGGAACAGCAGCATATATTCCCATTCTCTCTACATATCATATTCATATTTGAACCCAAGCTCCCATTTGACATAAAATAACTATTCTCAAATGAAATGGTAGTGGAGAACCTGCCTTTCCCCAGCAAATACTTAAAAAAAAAAAATCTTTGATTTCAGCATCGCCAATCACAAAAGGCCACATTTAAACCCTGCTTTATTCATCAAGGCACTTCAGGAAGAACTCCATACTCTGTTGAGTGGCTATCTTCCTTACATGTCAAGGATATTTTTAATGAGATAGTCTTAACATGCATGAGGGATCAGGACCAAAATGCAGGAAAGGAGAGAGTTCGTATACTAAGCTATTTAGAATTTCATTTGAAATAAGACAAGGGGGGGGAGTTTATGTTTCTGCTACAAAGCCAATTTTTTACGATATAACAGAGCCTCCCCTTCGTTGCTGTTATCTCACAATATAAAATCATGATAGAAGTAACTCTAACTTTTAACCAGCATAAAATGGCTAAAGCTAGACCCTAATGCTGTTCATCCCAACTTCATTCCATTCTTGAATAGCTTTCAAGTCCGAATTCTTGAAAGTTAATCACCATCCCTTCCCTGGACTGTTGCAATTTAATCAATAACCTTTCACCCCAAAGAAACCCCAAAACAAGAAGACTCATTAATCTTTCTAGTGATTAGAGTCACCCCAAGAGCGTCAAACATTTACCTCTCCTTCCCAGCAGCAGAAATGGATTTAGGAGGATCATGGTTCATACCTCACATTCCCTGGAGCCAGAAATGGTATACGTGCAGGGTCCAGATCCATTAACCGATACATCCATGGTCTCAGAGTTTGTTGGCTTGTAGTCCACGTAATACTCCTGTAAAGGGGAGTTCATTTGCCTTTCAGATTCTCGGGCTTTTTTCCTACGCCTTTTCATAAGCGAGTGTTGCTGGAGCTGTTTCATGCTGGCTGGGTAGCGTTTCCATGAAACATAAATGACCAACAAAATCATAGCCACTGAAAGAAAAAGGGCAACACTTCCAGCAATTATTTTGTGAAAGGAAACGTGCTCATATTCTGGTCCTGGTATAGGTACTGGAAAATCTGGAGAAGGGCTTGGTGTAAAAGAGGTTGCTTCATAGTCTTCCACTTTCGGAATGGTAGGTTTTGGAATAAAGATGGGTCTTTGCTGGGTTTTAGGGACTTGGTAGGGTTTTTCAGTGACCACCACGGGGATTTCTGCACAAATGTTGTAGGTTTCTACAGCATCGCTCACCTTTTCGCCCTGAATATGCTTAGGGCCTGCACAAATCATGGTACTTTCTTTGTTTCCCTTGAAGTTTTTAAGCCAGTTAAACAGAGGGCAAATGCTCCGGGTACATTCCCACATATTTCCAGAAAGAGTAATAGATATCAAAGAAATCCAGGCATTGACAGTCTCCTGAGAGACATTAGTCAGTTTGTTGGAATCCAAGTTGAGCTTCTGCAAGTTGGGCAGGCACTGAAATGTCCCAGGTTCAATCCCTGCAATGTCGTTTCCCGATAAATCCAAATTGTGCAAAGAACTCCATGTCCATGTCAACCCTTGGCTCAGGGATCGGATCCTATTCCACTGCAAGTAAATGGAGCGGAGATTAAAGAGACGAGGAAAGTGAGCGAAGTTGATCTTAGAAAATTGGTTGTGTTCCAGGTGGAGCTCTGTGAGCTTCAAAAGACCAGCAAAGGCGTTGCGAGATAAACTCCGCAGACGATTGTAGCCTAAATCCAGAAAATCAAGATTGCGACAATCTTGGAAAACCCGAATGGGAACCGTTTTCAATGAGTTGGATCGTAAGTGCAAGATCAGGAGCTTGCGAAGACCTTTAAACTGCTCTGACTGAAGCACCTGCAGCTTGTTGTAAGAGAGGTCTAGATTGCGTAGATTGGGAACTGGGTGAAATGTTTTATTGTGAAGGTGGGTAATTTTGTTGGAGCTTAGAATTAATTCCTTCAGCCTTCGGATGCCTTGAAAAGCATCCTCATCCACTGAGGTGATGTAGTTATGATCAAGGTAAAGCCATATGAGTTGGTGTAGGCCTGCAAACTGATTTGGCTTGAGCTTCTGGATGCTGTTGTACCGTAATGATAAGCCTTGAGACCCTCCAGAAATGTTGTGAGGGATGTCTCTGAATGCGTGGGATTCACAGTACACAATTTTGCCATCACATCTGCAGTTCTTGGGGCAAGCTCGCTGAGCCCCACTCAACGTCACAAACAGCACAGTAGGAAGGAGAACAAACACTGCACTCATGCCTCTCAGATGCTTCATTACGTGGAAACCTACAATATGAAAATGACAAACATACATCGTGAGACCACTCAGATAAATCAGAATCAGAGTATGCACCATCAGGATTTCAAATAACAGATAAGAACTGAATTCAAAGCATGATGCCTTGCTTCTATGTAATTTGACCTCTGTGTGTGTGTGTGTGTGTTTGTGTTTGTGTGTTTTACATAGAGATGCTTGTAATGCTGGCTGTTTTTTTTCAATATTTCCTTCTCCCTAACCATCCAACATATACAATCAGACTATACTTATTCATTTACCTCTGTGTGATTTATGACCTTTGTTGACAAATTAAGTTCTCCTTCCCATTTTTAACTCATTGCAATATGCGTTAGCACATAGCCAGAATACCCTTATCGTCAGGATGTTGTAGATTTAATACTAAACATATTTGTCAAGTCACTGTGAAGTAGATTTTGGGAAGAGAACGTACCCAAGCTTGACTTGTTAAACATTCTTAAATCAGAAAAAGGTTTCTTAATAAACTGACTCACAAGAACACATCTCCTGGGCCCTTCAAAAGATGCACAGATGACCTTAAAAATATGTGTTTATGTAGCGTGACAAATAGAAGTTAGAAAAATTGGAAGGTGGGGGGAGGGAAGCACACTCTAGATATTTTATTTCATGTGAGCTAAGCATAATCCAAGCAGACAGGTATGAATGTCTTATATGTCAAATCTTATGTATGAACAAATCTACAGATGCTAAGTAGCAATGATAAGGAACTTCTGGATATCATAATAAAATGCATAGGGTCATTAGATATGCTTTCATATCTTCACGCATAACAACTTCCATAACTGTATTACTTATTGATATATTTTAATATACAGTAGCATGGTTTTATTGTTTTAGCATCCATGTTTCTTCTATAATTACAGTCATGCACACCCAATATTTATTTTGGGTAAAAGATGGGAGAATGTTATTACTATAAATTAATAAAAACATGAATGGAAACTCGATCCCAGATGAAGCAAAAAAAAAAAAAAGTGATTTTTCCTTCTCTTTTTCCAATATTAGTTCTGATAGTCTACATTTAACATATGTAGCAAAAAACTTATTTTATAGTCATCCTTCTGAGCTGCTCACACTTCCCATGTCCTCTGAATAACTAGGTGAGTCTTGGGAGAACTAAGCTACATATAGGCTAAGGATTCTCCAAAATAAGGGGAGAAATTGGACCTTGTTCTAGTCTTGAGATAAGTTCAAAGTATGGCTTTCCAGAGTTGTAACCTTTCTGGTCCTTTGTTTGCATCTTTCCTTCAGGAATTCTGGAAAAGTATTGTTTTCTTAATAGTAAATAATATTATTAGGTTGGGGGGGGGGGGAAGAAGAAGAAAAGAAGGAACAAAGACCAGCCAAATAAGCCGCTATTTTATTCAGTGCTTATTTGAGGGGAGGCAAACGGCTAATCCAAAGAGCTTTTGACTGTTTGCCTCTGACACGTTCATTTCAATGGCAAGATTCTTCCTTTCCTTCCTTCATTTAAATTCTGATCCTTTCTCATTCCCTGCTGCCAGGAGGAGCAACAGCAGAAACATATTCCAACCTACACATGGAGGAAAAAATATAATTCTGTCACATTTGGAGGAGGTTTCTGGAGGGTGGGGGGGGGGGGGAGAAGAGAATCTCTAAAATAAGTGTTGGATATTTAACACTTTTGAAGGATGGTGCATGCATGTGGATGAAGGATATCAACTTAGTCCACAGGAGCAAATGCACCCCCCCCTTTTTTTTTTTCTTCAACAGAGATTTAAGGATCAGGACTTATCATTAGCACCATCTTTTTAAAAGAATTTGAACCTGAATGGGGATGAAGCCTAGGTTGACTAGCAGTGCACCAGGGGAGTAGAAAAAATGACAGAACTGGGGAGGGGGGGAATAGAGAGAGAGAGGGGGGGAAGAAGAACCAAACTGTTCTGGTCTGTACATCTGCCACTAATAATGGAGTAAGGGTGCTCGTCTGAGGATTAAAGATCTCCCAAAACACTGCAAGGGAGTATAAAGGATGGGGGTGAGGCACCACAAGAAGGCAGAATTTATATAAAAGTAGCTTGTATGAGTCACCTAGCAAAAGGAACGCAGTAGGGTTATTTTGATGGGTTTTCTTCTCCAGCAAATGGACAGGCAAGAGATGTGCATTCACACTCACAGAGAGAGAGAGAGAGACACAAAACACATACCACCCTCAGCCCTGGGCACAGCTGCAGCCTTACCCAAAAAAAAAAAAAAAAAGTTCACTTACCCATCGTTCCCTCATCTGCAATTGTATCCCGTTTCTTCTTCCAGATGTTGTTTGTTGCTTGGAACGACCGGGGAGGTTGATGGTGGTGGTGGAGGTTGTTATTTCTTCCCCACCCACCCCCCTTTCAAGCCGGTCCTTTTCCTTTAGAGCATGGTGACACACAGACTAGTCTAGCTGCTACGTACTTCCATGCCATCCAAGTGGATGCCAGGAACCTACACAAAGTTCCTGAGAGGGAGGAAAGGAAAAAGGAAGGAAGGAAGGAAGGAAGGAAGGAAGGAAGGAAGGAAGGAAGGAAGGAAGGAAGGAAGGAAGGAAGGAAGGAAGGAAGGAAGGAAGGGTTAGGGAATAGGGGTCGTGGAATGTAGAGGGGGACAGGGCTAGGGGAAGGAAGGAAGGAAGGAAGGAAGGAAGGAAGGAAGGAAGGAAGGAAGGAAGGAAGGAAGGAACCTAATCTCTGAAAGCCATGGAGTGCCTTGCCTGGACCTTTGGCATCAATCGCCCAGCCTCTCGTTGGAGCGCGAGAGGACCATGGAGGCGAAGCAACTTCTCAGCCAGGGGGAGGAGGGGGAGGACGAAAAGGCCGCGAAGTGTCCTCCAGCTGCAAGACAGCCTCCTCAGTCGGCTGCCTCTCTCCATCCCCAAGCACGGCGACCCATTCCTTCAATTCAGCTGTCAAAAAAAAAATAAAAATGGGTGACTCCTCAGGGTCTCGTCTTCAAAAATTTTTTGCCCTCCTTTCTTCGTCGTTTCAAAAGCTAGTTTTTATCCATGGAGGCGCTCGGGTTCCAAAGAGTGTGAGAGTGTGTGTGTGTGCGTGTGTGGTTGGGCGCGCGCGCGTGCGAGTGTGCCGGTGCGCGCGCGCGCGCGCGTATTTTTTGGAGCCCTGCGCTGCGCGCGTGAGGATTTTCTCCACATGCAATCCTCTCTCTCTCTCTCTCTCTCTCTCTCTCTCTCTCTCTCTCTCTCTCTCTCTCTCTCCCCCCCCCCTTTCCCAGACACAGATGCTTAGGAGCTTGTTGGTGCTAATGTTCTACTTTGCGATACATTGAGTGCCCTCCACTGGAGAAAACGGATCACATATTAAAAGCACGAATTAGTGAGAGGGTTGACATTGCTAGCAGGCTCCCTTTCGCGCGGAGAAAATTAAAGATGCAGGAGTGCAATTTCTCACAGCTGCCCCCTCTGCTGAATAAGCTTCTCCACACCGTGGCTGCCGTGTTTATCCTTTTTTAAAATAATAATAATAATAATAATAATAATTTTGCTGGAGCTTCAGAGACAATTCTCTGAATTCTCAACACCTCAACAACTTTGAGCACATACTTTTAGGAACCATTTTCATTGCCCTTAGCATTTCATCCCAAAGGTGCTTTTTTCAAGGGGCAACTGGACTTTCTTGTTTTTCTTTGAAGATGTTTCCCTTCTGTCCAGTCAGAGCTGAAGAAACTTCTTGGAGGAGAAGCGAAACGTCTTCAAAGAAAAAGAAAGAAAGTCCAGTTGTCCCTCTTTGGGACAACCATGACCTGGATGACTGAGAATCTCCATAGACATTTGACAGTGTAAAATCCAATTAGGATTTGAGGGAGAGACCATGAAGAAAGCCAAGAACTATCTCCCTCCGGCCAGATTAGCCAAAATGTTTAACGGATACTCACCTATGTGCTGGAAGTGTAAAAAAGAAAAGGGCACCTTTTTATGTATGGTGGACATGTAGAGAAGCACAGGTGTATTGGCTTATGGTCTGGGAATGGGCAATAGAAATGACTAGGCAAAACATTTGATACAAACCTGAGACATTACTATTAGGAATACTAGAGACAAATGTAAATAAAGAGGACACATATCTAATTATTCACGTGGTTACGGCAGCAAGGATACTATTTGCTCAAAAGTGGAAAGCAATGGAAGTACCGAGTGGGGAAGTACTAATAAAGAAAATTATGTATTGCGCAGAACTAGACAGGATAACTAAAAGATTAAAAAATCAGGAAGAAACAGAATTTTATCAAATATGGAATACATTTTATAGATGGAGGGGAAAAAATGGAGGTCACAGCAAAGAGATAAGTTAAGATAGAGACCAGAAATGTACAGTTGTATATAGATATATGTAATTAATGTACAATATGGACTGAGATGTCAGTCAATGACGATTTACCATGTTCAATGTTTTTAATCTTTTTTTTTCCTTTGTACTCAATAAAAACTTTTTTTAAAAAAGAAAGAAAGCCAAGAATTATAGGTTAGATGGGGACATTAAAAAGAAGACAATGGAAAATCACTTTCTTTGGCTCAATTCAAAGGTTCCTTGAACTTAATATTAACATGATAGCAGTATTCCAATATCTCAGGGGCTGCCACAAAGAAGAGGGAATCAAGCTATTTTCCAAAGCACCTGAGGGCAGGACAAGAAGCAATGGATGGAAACTAATCAAGGAGAGAAGCAATCTAGAACTAAGGAGAAACTTCCTGACAGTGAGAACAATTAATCAGTGGAACAACCTGCCTCCAGAAGCGGTGAATGCTCCAACACTGGAAGTTTTTAAGAAGAGACTGGACAGCAATTTGTCCGAAATGGTATAAGGTTTCCTGCCTGAGCAGGGGGTTGGACTAGATGACCTCCAAGGTCCCTTCCAACTTTACTATTATTATTATTATTATTATTATTATTATTATTATTATTATTATTATTATTATTATTATATCTATATAATCACAGCTATAGCTGCCTCTAAT